TCACGACATGAATGTTTCTAGGTTTATGCTAATCAAACTACTGCTCAAATTTGGATACAAGTACAAGAAGGTAGCAAACCAGAAACTTGTAATGTGTGAGCGATCTGATATTGTGAAAATAAGGTGTAACTATCTGAGAGAAATTAAGCAGGCAAGAGAGGATGGGTTCGAACTTATATATCTGATGAGACCTGGGTCAATGCAAAACCATACTGCTGCCAGACAGTGGCTACCCACTGATCCCCAGTGATGGTAGGAAAATACCAACAGGCAAAGGTGAACGTTTAATCGTTCTTCATGCTGGTTCCCACCGTGGATTCCTACCTGGGTGATCTGGTATTTCGGTCAAAGAGCACAGATGTTAGGGACTTTCATACAGAAATGAACTCAACGGTTTTCACACAGAATGTTGAGGAACAATTGTTGCCAGCTCTGCCTTTACAAAGTCTTTGTTGTCATGGGCAATGCTCCCCTATCACAGTGTTCGAGATCCAAACAATAGGTGCCCAACTTCAATACAAAGAAGTCAGATATGCAGCAATGGCTAACAAATAACAATATACAGCTTTTCAATTAAGGCCACTAAACCACAGTTGTACTCTTTGATTAAACCTAACAAACCTCAACCCACATATAACATTGACAACATGCTACGCCAACACGGCCATAAGGTCTTGAGATTACCACCGTACCACTGTGATCTCAACCCAATCGAACCTATCTGGGGAGACCTTAAAAGTACAGTGGCCCGGAAAAATCAATCATTCAAGTTGAATGATGTCAAGCACATTGTCAACACTGCTATATGTGACATTGACATTGCACGCTGGCATGCATGTGTTGAACATGTCAAGAAGGAGGAGAAAGAGTACTGGCTCAAAGATGGCTTGAAGGAGCAAACAGTTAATCCAGTTGCCATTCGTCTGGACACTGATGACTCATCTGTGGAAGAATGGAGTGAACTTGATGAAGTTTAATCCTGTTATTATATTTACAGATATACAGGTTTTGTGGTTAATGTTGAACAACTCAGAGAAACAAACTCCGTATGATGGTTAACAGTTGGCACCCACCTTACCCTATTCACGACCTGTGACACCTCTTCATACCTGTCACTTGCATAGCTGACCTACATTGACGAACGTTGACCTTTATGACCCAACACTGCCGCTGTTAAAGGTCATTGGCTCCCTCCCTCTGCGTTCTGCTGTTTATTTTGTTGACAGTTACATAGACAGATTCTTTAATACAAATGCATAAAATCGGTGATTTACAATGTGATTAGGTTGTCTGACAAAACATCCACTTGCACAGTTTGAGATCGATTGGATTATTGGATGAAGAGATATTTACAAAAAAACGGGTCCACATGCATTTCATGCCAAACTATAGACTGGATTAAGTGTACAACCATGCTCAACCACAGCTGTTGACAGTCGTAATAGTTGGCTAATTTGGGGATGTTAGATCGAAAATTTGTTATTCCTGCAAGGATTATTGGTTCCTTACTGTCATCTGAGAACCATGAGACCATTCGAAAAACAAGATTTATGGATGTCAACTTCTTTATTGTGAATAACGCGACGTTTCGAAGCGTTTCGGATGAATGAGCAAGCATACCCTTCGAAACGTGGTGTTATTCACAACAAAGAAGTTGACATTCATAAAACTTGCTTTTCTTTTCGTTTCGGGGCGCATGCTTGCTCCTCCAGACAAGTGAAAAGCAGTATGCCGTGTCAAGGTATTTGATGTCAACTTAAATGGGGAAGGAAAGTGGCGTTTATCACGTAGTAGCATGATATGTTGCTGAAAACATCTAGGAAAACGACATGACAGAATCAGAATTCTATCCTACAAACATGGCGTTCTGGTCAGTCCAAGGAGCTCAGCTCTGCACAACATGTTTTAGCGCCTGAGACAACGGAGCAGTTCCTGCCTGTAGGTTCAGGTTTATTGTGACACTGACGGCAAAGAGTGAGAGATGTAGGTTGGTTTATTGTTACACTGACAGCAAGAGTGAGATGTAGGTGGGTTTATTGTTACAACCGACGGTGAGAAGTGAGATGTAGAGTGGGTTTATTGTTACACTGACGGTGTAGATGGTTTATTAATATTAACTGACGGTGAGTGAGATGTAGCTGGGTTTATTAATTACACTGACAGTGACAGAGTGAGATGTATTGCTGGATTTATTGTTACACTGACGGTGAGACACTGGAGATGTAGTTTATTGTGACAGTGACGGCTGAGCCGAGGTGAGATGTAGATGGGTTTATTGTTACACTGTCGCCATGCAGAGTGAGATGTAGGTGGGTTTATTGTTACACTGACGGTGCAAAGAGTGAGATGTAGATGTGGGTTTATTGTTACACTGACAGCAAGAGTGAGATGTAGGTGGGTTTATTGTTACACTGGCACGTGAGATGTAGAGTTTATTGAGATGTAGATGTAGGGGGTTTATTGTTACACTGACGGCAAGTGAGATGTAGCTGGGTTTATTGTTACACTGACGGTGAGAGTGAGATGTAGGTTGGTTTATTGTTACACTGTCGCCAAGAGTGAGATGTAGGTTGGTTTATTGTGACAGTGACGGCAAGAGTGAGATGTAGATGGGTTTATTGTTACACTGACGGCAAGAGTGAGATGTAGCTGGGTTTATTGTTACACTGACGGTGAGAGTGAGATGTAGATGGGTTTATTGTTACACTGTCGGCAAGAGTGAGATGTAGGTTGGTTTATTGTTACACTGACGGCAAGAGTGAGATGTAGGTTGGTTTATTGTGACAGTGACGGCAAGAGTGAGATGTAGATGGGTTTATTGTTACACTGACGGTGAGAGTGAGATGTAGCTGGGTTTATTGTTACACTGACGGTGAGAGTGAGATGTAGATGGGTTTATTGTTACACTGACGGTGAGAGTGAGATGTAGGTGGGTTTATTGTTACACTGTCGGCAAGAGTGAGATGTAGGTGGGTTTATTGTTACACTGACGGTGAAGAGTGAGATGTAGGTGGGTTTATTGTTACACTGACGGTGAGAGTGAGATGTAGGTGGGTTTATTGTTACACTGACGGCAAGAGTGAGATGTAGGTTGGTTTATTGTTACACTGACGGCAAGAGTGAGATGTAGATGGGTTTATTGTTACACTGACGGTGAGAGTGAGATGTAGGTGGGTTTATTGTTACACTGACGGCAAGAGTGAGATGTAGATGGGTTTATTGTTACACTGACGGTGAGAGTGAGATGTAGCTGGGTTTATTGTTACACTGACGGTGAGAGTGAGATGTAGCTGGGTTTATTGTTACACTGACGGTGAGAGTGAGATGTAGGTGGGTTTATAGTTTATTAATCGTAATTGTCCAAGAGACATATTTCAGGGACAGGGACGTCCACATTTCTCCCTAACTAATAAAACGGAGGTTACTCGTGGAAGAGATCAGACTAATCATTGGTTGACAATTCATCTTGTCGATTGTCTTTGACAGCGATTGGTTTCAGCCATCTTGGATAACAGCGGTTATACTCTGGTTATACCAGGCTGTACATTTGTTCATGGTTTGTTTATCACTGACCCTTGTCAAGACCGATTATGGCTTTGATCCCTCAGATGTTTTGTTTCTGTTTGCTTCTGATAATAGAACTGTGTACAATATTTTCTTAGTTAATGACATCCGATCTCAGGAGCACAGCTCTGTCACCTCCGCGTCTTCCCTTGTTGTACTGTTGTAGTGCCTCCGGGTCTACAGCGTGACGACCAAACACTTTAACCACTAGGCTACCCCACCGCCCTCTTAATTAGAACTCGGCCGCATATCCTGTTTGTAAAGATGATCTTCATACAACTTCTGGTCTTGACTTGATGTGAGATGAGAGAGGCACAACCTTCCCACTTGTGTAGCGTCTTCTGGATTACTCTGCATCTGCTACGATTACAGCGTACACTTGATTCCACAAACATCAACATGTAGTAACTTCCAAACCAGTGTTTACATTGTAACGCGTTCCTGACAGCTAGGTTTATCAGAAACGAAGTGCTAAAACGTTTGGTTCCAACTCTACAGTGGGACTGTTTCAAGTAGGAACCACAATAGGTATATCTCCTACATCGGGTGTTTACTGTGTGTAACCTTTACCTTAACATTTCATGATGTCCCGATGGTAAGGACTTCTGGCATCAACCAACGCACTTGCTCAGCGAGTCGTGATTTATTACAAAGCTAAATAACCTGCCTCCTTTTCAGATTGTGGTAAACATTTCCTACTTGTTTGGTGTATCCAGTGTTGATGATTACCGGGGCGATAGCATGCAGTTAGTCTGGCTCACATTTATTTGTCCTTCTGTGAAGTCCTTTGTGTAATGGGGCCGATAGCCCTTTGGTTAAAGCATCCGCTAGTAACTCTGAAGACCCGGTTTCTATTCCCCACATGGATATACAATGTGTGAAGCCCATTTCTGGTGTGCCCCACTGTGATATTGCTGGAATATTGCTAAAAGCGGCGTAAAACCATACTCACTCACTCACCTACACGTGTAATGCAAACGACACATATGAAGCAAGTGTAGATTTTACTGAGGTTCAGAATCTCCAATCTCACAGGGCATTTCAGTCTAAATGGAGAAGTTTGTTCTATCACAAATATTTATTTTCAGGGACTGAGCTAGGAAAAGGAATATCTACCGAAACTTAAGAAATCTCAAACTTTGTAGTATTTACAATCTGGTATGATGAAGAGGAATAACATTAATGGTGCTTCATTTCGGTGTTAGCATTTTGTCTATCCATAGAATTTGTTCCTATTCAACTACCACAAACTACTGTCTGAGATACCCGGGTGCCCTTGGACAAATAATCTTAGCGCATGGTGGTCGTTTTCCCCATTCCTTAACAGAGACTTAGAGCAGTCGTAGGACTAATGTTGTTTGTACAGTGGCACTCGGTTCTATATTGTCCCACCCCAGAGTTAAACACTTACACGTGTATAACCGAATATGTTTCAGCCGATGCCTATGTCTTCAGTGTAGCTACCTTCCCAGACGGACGTTACGAGATAAAGATCCATAATGTCACGTGGTTGAGCAGCGCCCCAACATTCTTCGTCATCAACGACACGCGCTTCTCCGCCGATGATGGCAGCCTCGTTCTCGACAGTATCAACACTACCATATCCGGTACAGGCGAGTTCGGGGTCGAGGTCTCCAAGAACTTCCATTACCGAGCTGGTGACGTTCCAGTCATCACGAGTATCGTCATGTACGGGACATCAATCATGTCATTCATAGTGGTAATGTACATTTCAAACATTTGAACGTTCAGAACGCAAAAAATAATCTTTATTGTAGATGGATGTAAATACATTTACACGTCCCACATTGATGCTTCTCATTTCGTTTTACATTATTGTAATTATTGTTACGTTAGGGAACAGTCTTTACTTATAACATGTTCTTTCTACGACACACATCTGGCTGGCAATTTTGGCTGTGTTTGTAAATAGTAACGTTATCTGATTGTTTCGGACTTCCTCTGTTCCCGTCCACTTGCTTTGTTTTGTATAAGTTGTAAACAATATGTTTTTGAAGTTTCTGCAAGGAAGCACTTTAACAAACACGAGCATAATTTGGATATTCATGATGACTCTTTCATTTCATTTTGATGAAGCGCTTCCCCGACGGAGCCTCCAACACAAATCAAAGCAACATAGACGGTGTTATCTGTGGTTTCCCCGGATTCAAACTGGACACCACGTCCAAACTGGGATACATGTCGTTCGGGGGAGCTGACTTTCAAGAACAGTCCGTCGGAAGGTAAGCTACTCGGTGAATAATAGACAAATTGCTATTTGCACTGCAAGTAACAGTGGCGATAATAAAGTGGAATTCATGTTAATCCAAAACTTTGTTTTCTAAGTGAGGATTAGATATAACTTCTTTGTTTACAATGTAGACCAACGATTCGGTGTAGATTCTAACACTGCTATAAAACAGGTGATGTACAGGGTGGTGTAGGGAAGCTAATATACAGATATGAAGTAGCATTTTACAACAGAGCATAGACACCTGTTGAACACACAGGAGAGAATCTGAGATACATTAGGTCCTTACAAATGAAACTAGTCGAATATTAACACAGAAGGATTACCTCTCATTAAAGTCTTTAATGAGATGATGGTAAGCTGGGGTATGTATCAGCCTTGGTCATGACTGATAGATGGTTGAAGTCTTAAATATGGATGTCTTCTTGGAGATGTCTGAGTTTGAAGTGAGGGCTCTGATTTTGTCCTACTGGATGCTGTGGTTTTAACGAATATGGTCAGATAGATCTGATTTCATGTCTTGTTTAGACACCGAGCAATGTTATGTTGATGCTTCTTATCGTACCCCAGCAACGTAGATAGATGCTCCAGATGTCAATCACCCGATAGTCTTGTTGAGACTCGACTATGTACAGGCCACTGTAGCTGGTTTACTGCGTGTCCCGAGACATACGAAAACTGGATACGATCTATTCTCTTGTCTCTTACCTGACGGCACGTATTTGGCTTCTTGGGCTTACTGCATTGATACATTAACAGACTCAATGTCAACTAATGAAAAACAATATATGTCGGAATCTCAGTGTGTGAAATAATATCAAATGCTGGAATTACTTCCATGGAGTGAGTGAGTTGCTTTGAGTAATATTCCAGCAATATTGGGACACCAAAAATGGGCGTCACACACTGCACCCATGTGGGGAATCGAACCCAGGTCTTCGGCGTGACGGGCGAACGCTTTAAACACTAGGCTACCCCACCGCCCCACTCCCATGGAAGATCGTAAAGATGAGTAAGAACATATAGATGGAAAAATGTCTTTTCAAAGATTTGTGCAGTGTCGGGGTTACAGCACTACAGCTTTGAGATTGGTTTGTACTAGACCTTATTGGGATGTTTCTAATGTTCACCCTTCAGTCATAATTTCCCAAATGTCCTTTGTTCTTTTGCGGGAACACTTGACTTGCCTCCAACTGCCACCCGTGAGTATCTGATATGATCCTTATGACACAGTGGAATCGGTGATTTGGTATTACGAAGATATGTTCCTGTCCCCAATCATATTGAGTACATTTCGTCACCCGAATTAGTTTATTTCTTATTTCAAGACCCAAAAACTGCAATTAAATTCCCATACATAATATCTCCCTGTTACTGGAATATTCTGGTCTGCCTGTGGTCATGCACGAACATATTACTGTATCTGACACTCACGAAACACTGACTTTTCTTCAGATGGGATCCGTCCGCATCCATCCATGATGGTTTGGAAGGTTCCAGCCCCTTCTCAGTGTTTGACTCGAGTGGAAATGCTGTGGCATTTGGACAACTGAATAATGTCATGACGACACCAATGTGGCACGACAAAACCAACAACTTCCTGTACTATGGAATTATGGGAGGAATCGAACAGATCCCGACAAATTTCTCCTACCACATTTTGGCAGCATATTCCTCAGGGGGACCTGAAAGTGTAAGTATATATTCTATTTAGTGAACATCTCGTCGGCTCGTTTGAGGAATAAATGGTGTTTAAAGGGTTATTCATTCAGCGACTATATTTTGTCCATTTCTGAATTTCAAGTAGGTTCTAAGAATAGGGTGTTTGGATCAAGTCGATAAACAAAATGGCTGCCGTACCTCGTTTTCATCCAAATACTAAAGACACCAAGCGTAACCCTTGCCACATGCACGAGTAAAGCACACACAAGGTACAACCAGACATGTCGGTAGTCCTTGTGTCTTCAACAGGTATTGAAGGTTAATGTTGTTTATGAGTAAACAGAGTTTCAGTGTTGTTGGTCTGTAGGCATGTCGTTATTATTGGTTTCAGTGCACACCGTGTCTTCGTCCTTACCAATAGGCACCGTGTTATGGACGCAGTTCTGTCGAACATATTAAAGACAACCATCTGCTCTGAATATCATCTTCTATATACATGAGAATATGTGTTAGTCTGTTACGATTAAGATCTACATTTTTAACTTATCCAAATGTGTTGGGATTTGAATGCTTCTATTTCTGAGATGAAATATTTCAATATATTTTCATTGAAAACACAGAAAGGCATCCCTTCCATACCAAAACCACCTCAACATATAAAACATCCATATGGTAGGATAATCAGTTATGTTGTACATAGTTTCATCAGCGGACTATCATCGGGTTCTGCCAGGACAATATGCCTGTGTATAGCTCTGGAGTATAGCTCTGTGATACCGACTAAATATACATGTATACCCAGCACACTTTGAAACTGTCGACAAACCAATATTCGTTAGCAGAAACTAAAACTCTCTCTCTCTTAATAGATTATTTTGTGTTCCTGACGTTAGATAATGTTTCCGTACAACTGCTTCGAACTGGTGATTTTATTTTCAACTTTTCAGAGTCTGTCTGTGTGGGGTTTCGTAATCAGGAGCTTTGTATACAAAGAAGATATACCGGCGGATCCCTCTGGGGACACACTGGGGTACTGGACAGATGAAGGTGATCTTAAACAATTTAATTAATGTCTACCTTAAGTCATTCCTATTTGACCATTGTACAATCCGTATAGACGCGTCTCACCCACGAAATACAACAGTTGTTATCCTTAAAGTTTGTTAAATAGTGAGCTTTAGGTCTTGGCTTTAACTGTTTCGGGACAGTTTCCGGGCAGATTTGTGTTCTCCGCATACGTGTCATTTGTAATGTTATTGTCTGAATAGAGTACGTGAGTATAGTTTTAGCAATATTTCGGCAATATCACGAGATATAGGCTTCACACATTGTACCCATGTGGGGAACCGAACCCGGGTCTTCAGCGTGACGCGCGGACGCTTTAACCTCCAGGCTACCTGTCTCTATAGAAGTGATCAAGCGATATCTAACGACTCAAAGGCACAAGATAATAGTACCAACAACATATGTCACACTGAAATCCCCTCGTGTACAATGATAACTTCCAGTCACCTAAATCGAGGGTTCGAATCCCACTTCGCACTTGGTATTTGTCTAGGTTTGGTAGCACCATACCAATGTTCTTTTGTTTTCGAAGAGTGGTGATGCTTCAGACCTGCATCCCTTCGGTGGGACCTTCTGCCTTCATGTGCCTACTGTTTCCATGTCAAGGCGTCAACGTCCTACTTTTTCCATGTGAAGGCGTCAACGTCCTATTGTTTCCATGTCAAGGCGTCAACGTCCTACTGTTTCCATGTCAAGGCGTTAACGTCCTACTGTTTCCATGTCAAGGCGTCAACGTCCTACTGTTTTCATGTCATGGCGTCAACGTCCTACTGTTTCCATGTCAAGGCGTCAACGTCCTATTGTTTCCATGTCAAGGCGTCAACGTCCTAATTTTTCCATGTCAATGTTACAGGGTCCTACTATTTCGATAAAACCGATGGAAATGCAACGTATGAAGATACATTGATCAAAGTGTTTGCTGATGGCCACAATAGAAGTATACCATACAGGTACCTGTATAGTTTTGGTACAATAGGACAACAAATGATAAGATGGCGTATTGCGTCGATGAGGCAATGTATTTATGATTAATTTACAGTATATATATATCTTGATAACTGAAACATCTGGCCGATTGAGTCGTCTGAGGTGCAGATTTGGGTGATATTTATGTTTCCTTCCGATGACTGAATATTTCAGACCAAAATCATGAAAAATGGTTCCAGAGAAAAATGGTTCCAGTGCCGCGATATGTGATTAATGTGAACATATCCTGCAAACGCAGCATGTTACCAATACGCTGTGATATATCTCTATTTGCACAACAGATAATCTTTATTTCTTGATCTTTTCGTTCGGAACATATATCCTCATTCCTTTTTCTCCTCTTTCGATGCTTATCTTTCTTTATTCCTAAATCTTCCGTATTCCTTGGTCTCGTATTCTGCAAATGATCTATTGTTATTCCTAATGCATGCACTCCTCGTATATACGCTTATTCCTGTTTCATATCTTCTGCAGGTATGTAGAACTGGACACTTGGTGGTTTACAAAGGGTCAAGGTGGAGGGGTCAAGGAGTGGACAGCACCAGCAGACATCTTCCCCAACGGCATCGAGTACGTCTACAGTGATGTAACATTACTGGTGGTAAATCAGTTTCCCTATTGACACATTGATAATAATGGTAACACTGTACTACCAAATATTTTTAGTGTTCATCAATACATAGGTAGCCCGACTGAACAAGATTCTATACGATTTACAGCTTTGTACAGATTGTGTTCGGTTTTACACAAGTTCTCAAAAGAGAAATTGAACATACTTGATAAATCCCAGCAACCCTTAACCCCGACCATGTGTTCTTCTGGATGTAGTGACGTTGGTTTTGTTTATGTAGCAAGTCATTCACACACGCTCACACGCACGCACGCGTGCGAAAAGTATAAAACAGAGTTTTTGGTGGAAGGGTAGTTGTCTTGACATATCCCACTTTAAGACCTGACCTGCCCATTGAGAATAAGATGATGACATGGATTGTTTTGTTGTGGACTAGTCGGAAAACACCACATTCAGAACGATCTGGGATAACGGTAATACAGATATAATTTATGTTATGTTTGTTTTCAGGTATGTCCACAGGAGTTTGAACGTACCTATTGTGGCGAAAAATAATTTCTGGTGAGTTGTGAGAAGGGTGCTTCGCAGAATGAACTAAGTCGAAGCATTAACATACTTTAGTCTTTGGCGGCTCAATAGGGACATGATCGGGTTGTCTTTGTCTTAGTTGGGTGATGGGCTTGGCCAGTTGTCCTGGAGGCAGTGACTTCGCTACACTTCCGAGGACATTGTTTCATGGTCTGTTGCGAAAAGCACTACGATGTCCAGAAGGACATTAATTATGTTACGTTGATTCCGTGAAACTGTGGCACTTTCAAAACAGAAATACAAGAACTCATTTCAATATTTATTTATTGCAGGTCCAGTGATAACATATATGCAACACAAAATGGCGGAACGTTCAATTTTGAAATGGAAGGACACATGGCAATACCGACAGATGAGGCATTTACAAATTTTATTGATTTATACATATAGTTTACATTGAGTGTGGAACGGTTTTATTTCATCAATGTATCTGGTCTTGTTTCATAATAATATGATATATTTATGTAATCATTTCTAATACTAAAATATGGCTCCATGAAGATTTAGTATTTGAAATACGACAAGTGTATCACGATGTGTCTATAAACAATGTCAGTTAAAGGAAGTGATCTACTGATCCACTCAATTTTTAACCACTCTGACCCTGACTTTAAACCAATCACCAGCGCCCTGTGGTGTTTGTAAAAGGCGACTAAAAAGATCCTTTGGTCAGGCTAGGTTGTTTCGTAGATAGCGTGTCATCATACTGCGAAAGCGTGGAGTGATTAAGAGAGCTGGATTTTTACGCCGCGTTTTAAAGCTTGTCTCATGCTGAGTCTGCCTCAACAAGCAATGGAACAATCTACCAATGGAGGAGCTGTGAAAATACTTTTTGATTCGAAAACCATGTGACGTCAGTGAATGATTTGTATATTTCCAGGCGTTCTGGGACAAAATCTTCAGTGATTCCAAGCAGTGGGGATTGGCCACATATATACAGGTAGGATTTGCCACCATAAGCTCTCAGTTATATTCTGCAATGAATTATTCATCGATATTTCTTCGAGAAGGCTTTCTTAGGACGTTAACGCTTATGACGTCACAAAACAATCAGACGTTTCAGAATAATCGACATTGTAAAGAGGCGGTCGTGAAATGTTTTATGGTACATATTGGACAAAACAGGGTATTAGCAGAATGTTAGTAGTACGTGTATGTCACGGTGCTTATTGTTATAAATGTGCAATGAAAGTTCTATACGGAACAGGATATCCTGCATGCTTTATATTCACGCAATTTCTAAACAATGATGACAAAAATCCTTCCTGACTGATACAGAAGTGCCTGATGGTCTCAGTGATGTTTACTTTACGATACCGCTGATTGCGAAGTTTAATCCATGTGTATCAGTCAACAGAATATTGTCTTCTCCAGGACAACATGACGGAAATATACCGTACTTTCCCACGGATGCAGACGGACCTTAACTTTGCGCGAGATTGGTTGGTTAAAATGGCGACGTCTGCTTTGAGACACAACATCACCATCCAGTACAGTGGCGCCACCCCCACCATGGCGCTCTTGGCACTCCAGTTACCGGCTGTCACCCAGGTCAGAAACAGTCGTGGATGTTAATGTCGGTACACTCAGCATATTCACAGTGGCATAATGCGCTTACTGTGCATCCACTTTAGGACAAATTATGATATGATCCAGTCTGATGTTTTCCCCGATACAATCCTCTGTATGAAGATCTAACAACTCACAACAGGACATATTTTGTCATATGCCATGACGTATGAAACGACAGTGAAACATCGACAACATTATAATTGGGCTATAATAGTTACATTCGGAACTCGTCGGTGTACTTCGTTTCGAGTTAAACAAATCAGATTTGCTGCTCCGAATGCTTCTCACTCGCATAGAGAATTTATATTGGATATTAATACCTTTATCCAGGTGCGCGTCCTTGGAGGCTATGGCACAGAATTGGACCAGAGGAATATTCTTGCTTCGTCCGTATTCTCCGCACTTTTAGATATGTTGGTCTTCAAAGGTGTGCTCCGTACACAAGACCAGAAGGGAGGTGGGAACATTTCTTATGGTTGCTATTGTGGTTAATGTTAGTTTACGTTTTTGTTGTTGTTGATATAACCATTCCCGTTGTTGTTATCGGCAGCGACCATTAAGCCTAGTGGTATGGACGTCATGTCTAAACCAGGTGAACCAGCATGACTGTAGACAACTGTAAAATCCCTCTCCTTGGACTCCCTAATCAGCTTCGTCAACGATGACATAGAGCTTTGATCGCTGCCTGACTAACCCGAGACATTTGATAGCAAGTCATTTTATTGAAACATTTAAATAGGATTTGGACAGCAATATACATTTTGATGTTCGAAATTCGTTAGGAAACAGCGACATGATAATTGACTCAGCTCAGGTAAAGCTAAGATTATTTTGACATCTTAAACTTGTTCCAACCTGTGAATGTGTAAGGCATGCCTTACCTATATGGTTGAAATTATCCGATGTGGACTAGTACAGAGTTTAGCAATGCTTTCTTTCAAGGCACTGGAACAATCTCTGCAGCTCAGAGCAGCGTGATAGCTGTCCTGTCGCGGGGTCCAGTGGGGATTGGTGACCAGATCGGACATACCAATACTTCCATCATCAATCGGTAGTTACTTTTTCATCTATCCCCTCCCATCAATGATAATAATTATACACAAATGGCCTGAAAAGTGAAACAAGGGGTTTCTGTTTCCCATCTGTTTTGCATCAAGATGTAAATATAGGTGAATTCAACGAGACTGAATTTAATTTCTCTCCGTATATGTAAGTAAATTTTCTGTCTCTTTTGACAACCTGAACCAGGAAAAACACTTATATAAAGCAATATCCGGAACATATGAAATGTCCCCAGCACCAAGATGTCCAACTGCTCATTGTTCTTGGTGCCTTAGGTTTAGTACCTCCCAGTCTCTTGGTGCCTTAGGTTTAGTACCTCCCAGTCTCTTGGTGCCTTAGGTTTAGTACCTCCCAGTCTCTTGGTGCCTTAGGTTTAGTACCTCCCAGTCTCTTGGCTGTCGTTGGTAGAGAGTCCGAAATAGCTGCCAGGAACTCAACCCTTCTGACTCTCTAGGTAATGTAGAAGGTTGCAACGTTGGGCACTATCACCTCTAGTAGGCCATGTTTATGACACTCTCATGTCTGTAGAAGCCTATTTCCATCTAATGACTCTCATCTCACTCTCATCTCTAGTAGGCCATGTTCATGACACTCTCATGTCTGTTGTAGCCTATTTCCATCTAGTGATTCTCATCTCACTCTCACCTCTAGTAGGCCATGTTTATGACACTCTCATGTCTGTAGAAGCCTATTTCCATCTAATGACTCTCATCTCACTCTCATCTCTAGTAGGCCATGTTGATGTCACTCTCATGTCTGTTGTAGCCTATTCCCATCTAGTGACTCTCATCACACCCTCAGCTCCAGTACTGTCCATGACAAACAAATAGATATCTGGCAATTTTCTTCTCAGGATATGTAGCTCTGATGGAACTATCCTCAAACCAAACAGCCCTGCACTCGAAATAAATGCTCAGGTTGTGCAGGTGAGTAAGCTGTGAGCGATCCCAACTCCGCTTTTTGAACAGTTTGTATGTAATGTCACGAACTGACAAAATAATCGATACCTCTCCATTGTTTTACCATGCGTATGGTTTTTCATTGCAAATATCTTAAGTTTATTATCTTAAGCGATATTATTTCGAAAACCTAGATTGTACTAACGTTTGGTTAGTTCTCAGAGAATATCTCACCATGGTACTTTCGTGTTAAATTTAATTTCATTTAAGACTTGATCTATCAAAGAAAGACTGTTTTTTGTTTAGCTCGTGGTGCAAAACGTATGCGACTGTACATCTATGACACATATCATTGACGTGTAACCATGCAAATGAAACCATTAGTGGATCTTTACATGATTAAGGAACAATAAGCTTCACCATTCTGTTGAGAGACTTACTTGCTAAGGGTGCAACTCACAGGTCTCTACGATTCAACTCTCTTAACTTTTACATCAGTTGCTATGTTTTAAACATCACATTGTCATATTAGTAGCACATAATGTACCCGTTGAGGTGAAGAGCGCTTGTCTTGTCTGCAGGTTCAGTCAAAGGTGATGACGTTTTAACACGTGTTTATCAAAATATGCTGCTGCCTGTTTAAGAAAGTAAAATTGCAAATGCCGTCCACTATGTACCAGATGACATTTCAAGATGGCAGCGGCCCAAACGCCGACATCTGGGCGACACTCAACGGCCTGTATAGGGGTGGACCAGCCCCGGAACAAGTGTACGGGATTATCTATGTTTCCGGCTTGAACAGGACGTTTGACATCACCCCGACGGCAGCCGATATTGGGTTTGAAGTGAGTATGTCGTACGTATTTAAAGGGACATTCGGCGCGAAGAAAGCGCAAGTCCCAGCCAATATGATTCAAGTAGCTTAAACATCATGTACGTCGTCAGTGATGTATCATACCTGTAAAGAATGCGTTAAGTTACGAATGTGAGACGACTTGCACTTTAGATTATGCATGTGGTATGTGCATATTGGTCTATCAAGCAAATAAGTCCCTACCCAAAACGATACTTAAAATGGCACGTGGCAGTTCTTCAATACTTCAAACATAAGCTGGAAATTGTGTGTTTCCAATGCTTGCTCTTCAAATGGATAAATATCAGTTGGGTATGAGTTACCTCTGTTAAGTAATCGACACTTGGTACCTAATCCTCATCAATGAGATCGGGTAACAGCACGTTGAACGTATTTCAGGTACATGTAGATAGAGAGCGATGGGATAACCTTGTGACTGAAGCGTTGGTTTGTTACGTTCACCTTCTGTGTTGTGCCATGGATCCTGGAATGAAGGAAAATCACCAAAGCAGTAATAAATGTTGGCACATCGGAAAATGTCGCTTCCAATGCCTCAATCTTCAGGCTTCAGCACCTACACATATTTACTGTTGCAGTACCCAGTGAGCAAGATCTTCTCTGCAGCTGATCCAACAAAGCAGTACGACTTCAGCGACAGCAAACCCTTCACCATCCCGCCATGCCAACTGGCATTCTGCATGTACTATACGTCACCAGTTATAAAATACAAGTAAGGCACCTATTGTTCATATTTCGCAAAACTCAGCTTTCCAGATTGATATGCAAATACGTCTCTTGTGAATTAAGAACACCCAAGAACATTAAGAGCTATCTACAGCACCAACTTCAAGGTAAGGTGTTCACTATATTCTCATCAGTGATGTATGTTTCACGAGGTAAACAGGAAAATATAAAGGAAATATACATTTGTATCATCTTCCGTAGGAATCTGTTTTTTGAACATGGGACTTAAATATATTCCGTTAAACTCCGCCGAATTCCGTAGATGTTTGTTGGCGGTGGGCGGTGGGCGGTGGGCGGTGTCGTTATCCACATGGGTGCAGTATGTGAAGTTCACATCTAGTGTCCCCAACAGCGATAATGCTGGAATAATGTCGACATTAATCATCAGTGTTTGTTTTGTTTAAAATGCTACATCAAACACATTTTGACTATGTCACATACAAGATATTTGACATGCCTTCCAAATTTGCTTTCCGTCAAATATTGAATCTTGACCTTGATCTAAGTCTATGTCAGAATATGGGATTGAGAAAAATGTGCCATGTTGGGGGAGAAAACTGGAGATAAAGCCCACGACCATCTGATCCCGTTACGGACATAACTGTATCACCTTATGCACCTTGGTTCTTCCAACGTCCTATGCTACAAATCCCTTAAACCGTAGTGCAGTTTCCCGTGTACACGTTCGGGTGTTTTTTTAGGCTTTTAGGTATGCTTCAATACACGTATGTGTGAGTTATTTCCCTTACCATACCCTCCTGTACGTCTCCGGGAGTATATTGTTTTGAACCAGGTTTTGCTTTAGTGGCTGACATGTACACGAAATCGAATTTTGTACCATTGATCTCTATAGAAACGTTGTATTTGTTGCTAACATTATCAAAGCCCGCTATTACATGTACACGTATGCATAGTCTAACCTTAAAGAAACAATGAAACAAACCAGTTCCTTTTCCGAGTACAGGAAGCTAAACAGACCACAGTCCCGCACAAAATGTCGCCCGCTAGAAAATATGTGTGGTCACATGCTACATACGTCGTGATGTAAACAAAGACAAGCCCACATATTGGAACATATAGTCAGTTTTAGTTACTGGGTGGATGAAGCTATAAAAACACAAACATCTTACACAAAATCATCCAATCACGGCTGCATAATGATTCATTCTGCACTGACGGCTACGTAAGGTATTATTATATTATTATTATTATATGTTTTACAGATTAAAAATTGTATGCAGCAGAGAGGGTTCGGGTGATCCTGGCACAGTCAGGCTGGTAAGGCTCATCATCAGCTCAGGGCCCTTGCCCCCTCTACACGCAGCCCAGACAGCGAATGGGACTTCTCCCAGGAAACGCTGCCTAGTCGAACCCACCAAGAACTTTCCGGAGAATATGAAGGCTCCCCAACACTGCAGCCTTCTGCATTACCCAGAGTGTCAGAAGGGCTGTGCTCCCGGTGAAGAACCCGGGCACTCTCCTGATCTGCGCCAAGAGATCAGGAGGTACCAAACCAAGGGCACCGAGAACAATGGGGAGCCTGACGACAGTGTACTTGGGATGCAAGCGAGACATTTCAAAGGCGAGGTCCGCATATTTATCATGCTTTTCCTTAATCTTGCCAATCACATTGGTGTCAAAAGGGACAGAAAATTCAATGATATAAATAAATTCATTGGCTTTATCAAAAAGGACAAGATCAGGTTTGTTAGCTGGAATTCTTCTGAGGCTGTATATGGGCCTATTCCACAGAAGTTTGAAAGCATCATTTTCCATGACGCCCTGGACATGTTCAGGGTCGTACCATGGATGGACCTCGGGAGTCAAAGCTACAGGCATGTCGGAGACGGTAGTAAAAGCAACTAGCCATGCCATCATGTCGTTTAAGATATGCTGTTTGTGCCAAGGAAGGGCATCCACTGACAAGGTGTTGGACAGTCTCTGTAAATTCATTGCAAAGTCGACATTTCATGTTAATATTCTCTTTAAGAATCACATTTAGGCGATTACGAGTGGGAAGTGACTGGTCCTGAGCAGCAAAAAAGGAAGCCCTCAGTTTCACATTTAAGACCAGCCGACTTCATCCAGGCGAAGGAGTCGGTTGGATTGCTATTCTGTTCAACACACTGCATGTACACACGATGCAATGGCTTCTCAGAAAGCTTCTCCACAAAAGACCGACTCTGGGCAGACTTGGTAAAGGACTTCACCTGGTTTACTCCCATCGCTGTACCGTCCAGCAGTACATTGCCATCAGCAAAGTCAACCTCAAATTTCAGATTCTGTCCAACAACCTTGGCACATAATTATTATTATTATTATTATTATTATTATTATTATATGGTTATTTATAGAGCGCTTTAGTCCATCCCATGTGCATGCTCAAAGCACTTCGTTTTTTCTCTCTTGATCCTTGGATGTCAATCTCAACGGCACATGGTATATTTCAATCTCAACTCCCTGGGGACCATACAACTCCAGCAGCCACTAGGCGCACCATGTTAATGTGGCTTTCCCAACTAACGAGGTACCCATTCACAGCTGGGTGGACTGCGACACATAGTCACAGTACTTTGTCCAAGTTTTACTGCACGTTGCTGTACCCGCAACTATGTGTTTGCACGTATTCATGTGACCACCATCTGGTCATATACCAACGGATTCGTGGGTTCTTTTAAGTGCACAGGGTTGTGTACTGTACACTAGCTAGTGGTTGTGACAACACTGAAAGAGTCTGCACACAAACTTGACTCAAAATTGAAACAAAATTTCCCTGAAACTATCATAAAATAAGTCCGATCTAAAACACCTTGTTTGTTGAATGCAGTAGTAATACAATGGAAACTGACAATGTCTCATTTGGCCAGTGACAATGAAATTGATAAATGAAGTGCAGCAGAAGTCACAGATGGGCTCGATCCCGGCAAATTTAACTCGCTGGGTCACGAGCCTGGCGTCTTAGACAGCTCGCCCACCACGCCCCTATAAGGGTTCCTCACAGGGTCAACTCACCCACTCTCATGTTCCTTCCTTAAGGTGTTAAGCCCATTTCTGGTGTCCCCCGCCGTGATATTGCTGGAATAGTGCTAAAAGCGGCGTAAAACTAAACTCAGTCAGTCAGTCCTTCCTTAAGTGTTCGGTAAGAACATTCCCCAGTCATCAATCACACCTAAATTCCCGGTGCACAATAAGGCGTGGAAAACATATGGTGAAGTGGACACAGGTGGTACCATGTTTGCATTGTCTTGGGGGTATGGGGTGTGTGTGGGGGTTTCTCAGCTCCATCTTTCTGCTCACTGATTTCACCCAAGTGTTAAATGTCTAAGATCTGAATCACTTCCATCTTTCCTTCCACATCAGTCTGACAGGCCATTATGTAACTGAAATACTGTTGTAAGCTGCAGTAAACACTTACCCGCATTGACTATTTGTTGCAGAAATAGAGAAGTTCTTGTTCTTGGTGAACTGGAAAAGTGGGTACCAATGTCTCGCAACAGGATCGTCAATGTCACCGTCGGCGACGTCATCACTGTCTACGTCAAGGGTCAGGCGGGGGAGAGTGTTGAGATGTGGTTTGCCGATGATGTACGGTTCGGTGCTTTGAAAACTATTATAGGGACAGACGGCCTGGGTAGTATCATATATGAAATAAAATCTCATCCTGTTAACAACTCTGACCTCAGAAGAGCTTCAACGGTTGCTGTTGTCATGGGCATCCTAACAACAATGATGCTCATGATGTAAGACGAAAGTGACTGCATTGTTGCTGGTTGGTCGACACAAGGCCAAAACTCCATCTCATCTCATTGGGTTAATTCTGTATCAATAAGCAGTTACATTTTCCTGGTGTACTCCTTTTCCCTTTAACGTGACAGAGATATCCGTACTGTTCGATTGGCTGTTTTTGTTCTTTTAAAGCTTGGTGCGGATTTGAACTGAACCATTCTGTCCTTCCAAAGTCGGCAGGAAAACAGTATTTCTTTTTACCACAAACACAGCTATCGTTCATACAGGTCCTGACACAACTGAAGAGTATCAGGCATTCTGCAATACATTTACCATTCTAGATTTGTTCACTTGTTCTGGGCTACTTTCTGTTACATATGAAAATAAATATATTATTACCTAACATATCTTTTCCAAGAAATGTTAGCCTGTGAATGATGCACAGTAGATTAAACCTGCCTTGTTACTTACGTAATAAAATATCGGAATCTGTGACTACAAAAACATCTCCCAGAACAATTTGTCAATGATCAACTGTATCACATATGGAATAAGCTCCATGCGAAAAGGATATTGCCAAGGAACACGTATGGTGGGAAATGTTCCTAGAAAACTGTTCTATGGGACCAATTCCCCCGAGAAGATGTTTACAAAGGAATAATACCGCTATGGTAACAGATGCTCTTGTCACTGTCACTTTGAATTGGTGGGTAAGTGTTCTTCTTCCTATGCAGTAATTGTTTGGCGTTTTGTCACACACACATAACTATAACACCTTTGTTCACTTGGCTTGTTTTGTTTGGAAGAATGTGTCAGATGTATCGTGTTTGCTATGTGTTCACAGAGCCTTATCGTCATTCAGACACCCTAGTTTCCATGTGAATGTATTATTGAGAATACCTCTCAACGCTGTTCAAATGAATGTTCTGTAAAATCTGACCAAACATGAATTGTGTGTGGACCGAACGTTAAACTCGGTTTACATTGAGTTCCGTGTAAGAAATTAACATAGTTACTTTTTTATCGTAAAGTTCAATGTCTGGTTTGGGCAGGTTCCGCTCTAGTGTTATGTAATCAAGGATCCAGACTGCCAAATACTTTACAGCAGGTCACTTTAACATGTTGTACAGTTCCGGTGGTGAGATCACTGCGGGGTGATCCAGGAGACTGTTGTATCAAAGCTTTCTAAATTAAAGGCTGCACTAAGCCCTGAATGGTTCCATCTTCATGTTTCATTGGTTTATGGTATCAACAAAATGGGTTGTGCAAATCGGTTATTGAACTACCAGATTGCCAATAATGTGTCATTAGATTTGTATATTAACCTATTATTGTCCGACAAATCTGGTTTAGAAACAATCACTTTCTCCTTTCTGTCTTCTTCAAAGTGGTATGAGTTCTTACAATTCTTTCTACTTGCCAAATGTATCTGTTCTGACAATCTTTTGGTAGTTTACTTATGGTGTTCACAAAAATGCAATGCAACACATACAGCCATGTGCTTGCACTAACGAAGCCTGTCTCCATCTTAGCGCATATCATCGTTGATGTTTTGTATAAAGCCTCCTGTTACGTTAGTGCCACGCTGAGGTATGGATGGTGTCATTGAAAGTTTGAAATAATCTATGTATTGTGTTTCCAAAATTAATGGGGGGTTTACAACTTGTTAGTGAAACATTTTAGTTTTTATCTTGCCTTCATGTAAACTACTTTAATTTCATTGGTCACTGACGCTTTAACAAGTTTCAGTGTCACCAATCCCAGGGGGTTGACAACTGGAAAAAATATTACCCGCTGCCACGGTAACCGCCAAGCTCTCCATCGAGAAGCTGTATCGCTAACAATTGTATAACATGACGCATACAGTGCACGGAGTTCGAAACCTGTTCGCTTACCTGTTTTTGAGTTCACTATGTACACATTTATTTTACCGGCTTTCACTTCTTTATTTAATTACTATTTTATATATTGGATCGTTTTGCACACTCAACGTAACAGAATTAACCATTTTTATGGCAGCTTTTAGAACTTATCCATCTTCAAAATAAAATGATATTTTGTACATTTAACATGGCGGGAGGATAAATACGTTGTAAACGGCTCGGATAACACTACTACAATGAAGCGTACATGAGACCATATTACGCTCGAGAGAAGCATACAACTTATAGCATCAACCCTTCCCATGTCATATTACTGCTATGTACTGTACGTTTGGCGTCAGATCAAACTTTGCCATGATAAGGATCCCTTTTTATATTCAGGCTTGTACAATAACAGTATGGTGACAAGGGCTTTAAGATGTGAGTATGTATGAAAATGATTTCAATGTCTACCTTTGTCACGTGCGACTACTTGCGGTTTGGTCGGGTAACCATACAGACTGTATACTGAATGTGTTTGATGCTATTGTATGTAACATGCACTGTAAGAAGACATGACATTGAAGAAGTGATGAAGGTTTGACCCTGAAGTCGTTTGATTGGCACTGTGGGCAATAAGAGAAGACGTCAAAAGCTTTGTTACACCGTTGGTTATCATATATTTACCTTCGTTTTGATTATTTTCTACCACCGTTCATAATTATTGCATCCAGTTAGAATGTGTTGTCAATCATCTCTTGCCAATGTGTTGTAGTCAAATATATGTGTCTTGATCTTTATAATAAAGCTAACAAATATCACCACGTGTTTAACGGTACCCAAACCTTAGCCTTTCATACGGGCTGTGAAACTTGAGCCTTCATCGGGAATTCCTGAGCAGAACATTGTTTGTTTGCTTATTGTTGTCCTTTTGCAGTCAGCAACGTTTCCATTATATTGCAACGACCCGTAAACAATCGAGTATTAAAAGGCCAACTAGTGGATTCGGTATCTTTAACAACTCCCACAGCGCGGATACGATGGCAAGAGATGATTGAGCACATACCAAGACCATCCGATGTTCTTAAGTCGGCTCTTTCCACCTGCATGGCATAGATGAGCCATGGATATATCAGTAGATGTATACACATTTCACTCCTCGTAGTGGCACAATTGTACCTGATGGTCAATGGTTTGAATGGTTGAGTTATGCCAAATCACGTCAAGAGATGGTAATTGTTTCACATGGATACTCCTCTCAGACACAGTGTAGTGAGTCCGGACAGACAAGCCTTTGTTTAATCATGTTCATGCCTTGCGTCACGCAGGATATAGCATGGGGTGGGGGTAAGTACAGGACAGGCAGTTGCTGGCAATGAATTATTAACTGAAATACTCTTAGACGTCTTTACGATCAGCAATTTCCACACCTCAACAAACATTGCATTTGATGTTGTGGTAAGCTACAAGCAAGGTTGAAGAAACTCATATGCTAATTGTTTCGTATTTCAAAATTATTTTCAGAACATTTGACTCTTTTTTAAGTTGGTGCCAAATGAGCCCTTGTTATGCTACACTTCAAAACCATATCAAATGAGTGAGTGAGTGAGTGAGTGAGTGAATGATGCTTTGACCCGCATCCGCACTTTTGCAGCTATACTGTGCGAGCATCTCAAACGTTTACCAAATCTATGAGAAGTAAAAAGGAATATAATCCAAACATCCATCATTACTTTACTGGGACTTTGTTGATAAAGTAAAACTGCATCTTTCAAATTATGCTGGGCAGGAATTGTTCAGTTGTCTCAGGCGCTAAAACATGTTGTGCAGAGTTGGGTTCCTTGGACTGACCAGAACGCCATGTTTGTAGGTTAGGATTCTGATTCTGTCATGTCGTTTTCCTAGATGTTTTCAGCAACATATCATGCTACTACGTGATTAACGTTTTAGATCCACATCACTGCCTTCCCCAATGAGACATGACATACTGTGTTTCGCTCGTAAATTGAAACTGTAGGATGTTCATAGAACGATGAAAAAAGATTCTGAAGCAAAATAAAAAACAAACAACAACCCCAAAATACATCAATTTGAATGCTGTCATGCTTTAATTATTTTTGTCATCTCTGAATACATTATGTCATCAACAAAGTAGTTCTTGAAAGACATTTAGAAGCTTATGACAAACATAAATATAGGACACGTTGTATAGATAACTTCTTTTTATTCTTTACACGACGTTCACAGCTAATTCTTGCTCCTTCATCAGAAGAATGAATTATCGTGAGAAAGAATAAAAAGAAGTTGTTTTCCATAAAACATGTCATGTATTCATCAACAAAGTAGTCAGTAAACGATATGTTTATACCTAACTAAAACAACGATGGAAATCCACGTCTACATATTTGACAATGATCAACGTATCCAACCCATGGGACAAAAAATCCCTACGCCTATGAACCTTTCTACGTATCTTACATCCCATGGAGGAGATAAACATATGTTTTCATTCGGTCGATGGACGCTTCCTTTCACATGTACAACCACACAGATCAATTTTCACTGTGACTTAAACAAATGTATGCAGCGTAATAAAATCTTGCTCCTCTTTTGGGGGCATGTACAAATGTACGGCACTTCGCGAGACCTTAGTACTTCCGGTGACAAACAACGTTTCATACCTGTTCGAATGGTCTCATCAAATCCGTGAAGGGCATTTAGAACTAGAATGCATGAGAAGAGCAAGATTTATGGATGTCAACTTCTTTATTGTGAATAACACCACGTTTCGGAGCTTATGCTTACTCCTTCATCCGAAACGCTCAGAAACGTCGTATTATTAACAATAAAGAAGTTCACATCCAATAATTTTGCTTTTCGAATGGTCCCATGGTTGACAGTTGACAGTAAGGAAGCAATAATCCTTGCAGGAATAACAAATTTCCGATCTAACCATCCCCCCATTAGCCAACTGTTACGACTAGCAACAGCTGGGACCAGACAAGCATGGTTGTACACTTGGTTCGGTCTAGTAAAGTTGTATTTGGCGGTCCCAAACGGGTTCATGCTAGAAACAACTACGTCTTACAAATACTTAGGAGTTTATTTTACAAACCACCTATCGTGGTCCTAACATGTCAGAAATACATCGATGCAAGCAAAGAAAATACTAATTGGTAGTATCAGATGTATTTATATTTTAGGTGACTTGTCACACAAATGATTTTTTGGAATGTTTGATGCTAAGATTAGTCCCATACTTCTTTATGGTTCTGAGATTTGGGGAGTCCAAACATTTCATACACTAGAAAAAGAACATGTGTATGCAATTAAAAATTTCTCGGCAAGAAAATTGCTACTTCCGACATAATGGGTTATGGTGAATGTGGTAGATTTCCATTATTTGTTGAATCAAAAATGAAAGCAGTAAAATATTGGTTAAAACTCTTAAATATGCCATCTTACAGATTACCCAAAATGTATGGAAAACGTGATTAGGTCACAGATGTAAACATTTACTATTTCCTACCGGTTTCGGTATTATATGGCTAGAACAGTGCATAGAGTTGCATCCAAATTTTCTCATGTCCATTAAACAAAGGTTACAAGATATATCTGTATCAAATAATTGTTTTTTTATTACAGAATGTTTAAGCAATCGATATACAATAAAACCTATTTATCATCTTTACATGTTCGGA